AACATGCATTAAAATTAAAATACACATGATCCCAAATTAAGTTTGTGGTGAAAAATGATGTCCCACCTTTCTGACCCACATGCCTTTTCCTATCTCATTTAGATACGACATCCTTAATGACGTCTTTTAATTAACAAATTTAACAGAACAAAACAAGTCAAGTCATTCATTCATTGTGCTTCAGCTTTGTCCCATATTAGGGGTCAGCAAAGTGGGATAAACCGTCAAATATTTCTGCATATGTATTACACAGCGCATGCCCTTCCAGCTGCAACCCAGTACTGGGAAACACTCAAATGTTACAAATGAAAAACAATATTATGAGGAAGTAAATGTCATGAGTGTTAGCTGGAGTACCCATCAAACTCACTAGAGGGCACTCCAGCCATATGTAAACTCCACCAGCCATTCATTCCAACTACACATCCCATCATGCTTTGTGCTAATCAACCACCTACAGCTGTTATCAATCCAGACACTGATTACAATAACAATAGCATGTCATAGTTTGGCAACATTTTTAAGATGACAAAATGTTGTCTTATGGATGCTTGAAATGGGGTCTTCAAATGAGAGGTTGCTATCAAATATCACACGACACAACTACACATCCTGTCATGCTTTGTGCTAATCAACCACCTACAGCTGTTATCAATCCATGACATTAACTACAATAAAAGCAAATATGATGTGCTTTAAGGTGCAGTCTGTCACACTGTTATCGTAATGTGACGTGGGAGGCTGACAACAGAGGTGCTGATCCAAATGCAGGGTTTATTAGCAGGATGGCCTGGCAAGGAATGATCAACAAGGTATGCAAGGTAAGAGAAAGATGTACCCGCTAAAATATTTTGATATTCTAGGAATAGCCAGTTGTCCAGAATGAAGTGGGAGTAGTGGACGTGAGGGGCAGTAATACAACGGGAGCTCAGCTAAGTCATTCAGATTCTTAGTTCTAGAAAGCACTCCAGCAGCTGCATTTTGAACCAGCTGCAGTTTGTTGATTAGACCTACAGGGCAACCACCTAGTAATGCATTATAGTCTAACTGAGAGATCAAAGTCGTGAATATGCTTTTGTGCATTAGCAAGTCATAGTTTGGCAGCATTTTAAGATGAAAAAAATGTTTTATAGATGTTTGAAATGACAGCAAAACTTTTGACTGCAACAAAGACTTTTATCTGAACGACAACCAAACATTGATTATTGATCAGATGTACTAGACCCATCATGTCGTCATTATGATTTGAATTTATGATGCAAGCTGAGATTGCATCACTCAGCCATGCAATGTCAGACACAATGCACTCAAATGGAGCTAGTGACTTCACTGTGAGGGGTAGGGTTAGGGCTGGGGTTAAGTGAGCCTATTTAAAAGCACTGGATGCAGCCCAGATTGCACTGCACCAGGTTTGCATCCAGACTCCTCTCTCAGTTAGAGCAAAATAAATCAAAACCTCAATTAAAGTAAAAACACAAAAATAATGAAATATATGTGAAAAACAAAGGTATAAATATTACTTAATATTATATGATTTTTTAAAGTAAAGATGATTTACACCCACCTCTCCCATGTGCAGTCAGCGCAAAAGGGAAGAGACGGGTGCTAAATAGGAAATTAAACTATGAACGTTTTTCCTAACAAATGCTTAAAAGATCAAATGATAAATCAAATGCTCAAATAAATCAAATCCTCAAACCAACATCGCAAATGATGAATCAAATCCTCAAACCATTTTTAATTGATTTTAATTTATTTGAGCATTTGATTTATCATTTGAGCTTTTGAGCATTTGAATTTTCATTTAAATCTTTTTAGGAAGAAAAACTTCCATAATAATATTTTGTGTAATTATATAGACCTAAAGAAAGTGACATGATTTTCATACCTGTTTTACGAGCTCAATATTAATGTACATTTATGATTATACACACGTGATTATAATAATAATAATAATAATAATTAACACAGCCTAAATAAAAGCAGAAAATAAGTTGTGATCTCGACATAACTTTTATTATGTCGAGATCACGAGATAATTAAGTCGTGATCACGAGAAAACAACATTTTGTTATGTCGAGATCACGAGATAATTAAGTCGTGATCACGAGAAAACAACTTTTTGTTATGTCGAGATCACGAGATAATTAAGTCGTGATCACGAGAAAACAACTTTTTGTTATGTCGAGATCACGAGAAAATTAAGTCGTGATCACGACATAACAAAAAGTTTTCTCGTGATCACGACTTATTTTTTTCTTTTATTTAGGCTATGTGTTTATTATTATTATTATTATTATTATTATTATTATTATTATGTTGCAAATGTCTGGCTAGAGAGTCTGCACCGGCCCTGTTAACAGGGATAGCCTGCAGACTTGCAAATGTGATAGGCGTTCAAAGCAGCCATATGAGAGCAAACGCTCAAGCTCATGATTATGATTATAAACATGTATGATTATAGCCTATACCTTTATTTACAATACTCTCTCTGTTACCATTTTAAAATAACTTTATTTGGCCCAAAATAATTGCTGCATATGAATGCAGTTATGAAAAATGATGAAGATGCTAACTCTTTGAGTTTAGTAAAGTTAGCAAAAGATTCGTAGATTCGTATTTTCAGGATCAAAAATAACTCGATCGAAACATTGTTCCTACACAAATGTAGTGCAGACTCACTGGCCAGATATCAATAATAATAATAATAATAATAATAATAATAATTAATAATACAAATAAGCAAAATAAATAAATAAATTATAAATAAGTCGTGATCACGACATAACAACTTTTTGTTATGTCGAGATCACGAGATAATTAAGTCGTGAGTTTACGACATAACAAAAAGTTGTTTCTCGTGATCACAAACTAATTATCTCGTGATCTCGACATAACAAAGTTGTTATGTCGAGATCACGACTTATTTTCTGCTTTTATTTGGGCTATGTGTTTATTATTATTATTATTATTATTATTATTATTAATATGTTGCAAATGTCTGCTAGAGAGTCTACACCGGCCCTGTGAACAGGGCCTGCAAGCGCGCAAATGTGCAACACATTAGGCGTTCAGAGCAGCCATGAGAGCAAACGCTCAAGCTCATGATGTACATGATTATAAACACGTATGATTATAGCCTACCATTATTTACAATACTCTCTCTGTTACCATTTTAAAACAACTCTATTTGGCCCAAAAGAATTGCTGTATGAATGAAATTATGAAGAATGATGAAGATGCTAATCTTTGAGTTCAGTAAAGTTAGCAACAGTTTCGCAGATTGTATTTTCCGGATCAATAACTTGACCGAAACAGATTTCCTACACATCGAGATGTAATCACCATTTTTCTAAAAATGAACTTTTCTACATGTAGGCTAGTTGCTTTAATATGGAAACAGTTGAGGGAATATGGTTGTAAATATTAATATATAATGAATATAATTATGAATGAACATTAATCATGAGCCCGTTTGCACTCTGTTCTCAACGCCTTATGTGTTCCAGGAATGCGCAGCTATTCTCTCCCTGTTTGCAGTGCAGACTCCCTGTCCAGACTAGCCAGATATCAACATTAATATTAATAATAAATAATAATAATTATAACAACAACAACAATAATAATAAATACATAAATAAATAAAAGCAAAAAAATAAGTCGTGATCACGACATAACAAAAAGTTGTTTTCTCGTGATCATGAATTAATTATCTCATGATCTGGACATAACTAAAAGTTGGCGAGATCACGACTTATTTTCTGCTTTTATTTTAGGCAATGTCTTTATTATTATTATTATTATTATTATTATTATTATCATTATTATTATTACTATCATTTATTCATTCATTCATTTTCTTGTCGGCTTAGTCCCTTTATTAATCCGGGGTCGCCACGGAACCCCGCAAACATGCCAGTGTGGGCCCACTGTGGGTAAGTGTGGGTTTACTGTGGGAAAGTGTGGGCAAGACAATCTCACAGAAAAACACATGTGGGGCCCATATGGGGTAGCCCATGCAGGCCCCTAAAATATTTTCCCCTTTGGGACCCACATGGGTTTTTCTGTGGGCAAGCCCACAGTGGGCTTGCCTACAGAAAAACCCACGTGGGCCCCAATGGGTCAGCCCATGTGGGGCCCAATGGATTTTGCCCTTTGGGGCCCCAATGTTGGTTTTCTGTGGGCAATCCCACAGTGGGCTTGCCCACAGAAAAACACATGTGGGCCCCATAAGGGTCAGCCTATTTGGGGCCCAATGGATTTTACCCTTTGGGGCCCAATGTGGGTTTTCTGTGGGCAATCCCACAGTGGGCTTGCCCACAGAAAAACCCATGTGGGCCCCATATAGGTCAGCCCAAGCAGGGCCCAATGGATTTTCCCTTTGTGGCCCCAACTTGTATTTCGTGGGTAAATTTAAGTTAAATTTTATATTTAGCTTGTATATAAAAATTACAATAAATCATTTTCATTTTGGTCAAAATAGTGTGAAGGACAAAAACTGCCTTGCTGCTGAGAGAAAATCATCCAGAAATTATAGTTTTATATATAATCTTGATCACATATGATCACAGTGTGGACCCTGTAAGTGTGGGTTTACTGTGGGACAGTGTGGGCAGGACAATCCAACAGAAAAACACATGTGGCTCCCATGTGGGGTAGCCAATTGAGCCACCCAAAATATGTTTGTTTATTGTCCACTTTTTTAGAAAATTTTGACACCAAAAGTGTTTAAAAAAAGTGTCCTTAAGTGTGAAAAAAAAATCATAACTGGAGCAGTTATTTTCTAGGGGAAAGTGTGACACCCTGAATGGTTAGTCACACGTTTATATGTATGTTTTTTCTTTTAAGTATATATAATAAAATCTGCTTCTCTTTGTTAATTTTCTTCATGATTCATCTAAAGCTGTATTTAAATATCATGAGTGAAGAGTGGGTGGGACCGGGATGGTTTGTTTACAGGGTTGCTATGGTAACGGGGAACCGCAAGAGTGTCATTACAAGAGCGCCTTAATATTGAACAACAACGCAGCCGTCTCATCTTTTAGGTAGGTAAATTCTATCACAAAATCGATGAAATGTACAGTTAGTGTACAGTGTTTAAAACTGTTGATTCATCTATAAAAGAGTCGACTCATAGTGCTTCAAACGAGTCGCCTTGATACCGATTCATTAGGTGTTTCGCCATGACGTACGAACGAAACCAAGTTATTCACGTGCACGCGCAAACCCGGGAGATTTCAAACCTGAGGCCCCGCCCTCTGACGCAGAAACCCAGACACACACACACACACACACACAGCCACAAACACACACACACACACACAAACATGCCGGTTGATTGAAATCACACTGCAGATGGATATATTGAGTCTCTACCCAAAGATGAAACCTCAGCATTATAGCCAAGCAGTTGGAAACTACTGGAAACTTCTGCAAACTACATGCTAACGTAGACTAACCATGTTCCGTACACTTTTCGCTATTCAGCGCACTCAAACGACCACTCCTCCGTCATTGAAAGCCAGATAAGCATGCTTGTGTGTTCATTCTCTGGGGGAATACCTATTGCACAATCCAAATCTTGATTGATGTCTTTTGGACCAGTAGTTTTTGAGAAAAGATGGGATAAGTACCGCCTTCGCATGTGTACGGAAGATGATAGGTATTAACGGTGTTCCGTACACGACTAAAATAGTGTTCCGTACAGGGCGCATAACTTTAATTTACTGGCAAAAATGGGCATTGTTTGAAGTCTTATTAAATTCTTATGTCAGAATATACTATTATTGTGTTTAACTTGAAGTTAATGATATATTAAATAACTCTTTTATGAAAGTTTTAAATGAAATAGCTTCAAAATCATTTACTTTTTATATCATGTTTATTTTATTACAGCATGACAATTTAAAATATTAAAACATTAAATTCATGCACATTGAAGCTAACTTGACTGACCTTTTATGAATATAAACATCATTACTGCAAAAGGAGGATCCAAACAGCGTTTGCAGCCTGTCTCTCAGTCGGAGAGTTGCGACATGCGGTATTTACCCACAATTGATGTTTAAACATCCCCATTTCAAAGCTTTTATTTAACAAAAGATAATTTATTTAACAATTTGTGATAACATAATATTCACTTCATAAAGACTGTAATACCGTGTGATGCATAAATTAAATGCAAAAGCATATTGTCGGAGCTTTGAATGTCACCCCTCCCAGGCGACACTCGCACTTTAAGCTTGCCCACTTTCTGTTTTCAAGCGCATTAGGTGGACGTAGCAAACTTACTGATTTTACTCGGAAACATATAGTAGGAATGTCTCTGTTGTGGTTGGGGCTGAAAGAGTGAGAATTAAAGATTACACAGATATATAGCTTGCCTACGACCCATAAGTATGTATTCAGAGATTAACGTTAAAAGGTAATCTGTACGGAACATCGTTGTGTACGGAATATGGTTAGTCTACGTTACAAAGAATACTTCATCAGCATTTGTTAAAGGAAGGATCAGTAAAGAGTAACTTACTGATGGACGTCAGGATGGATTTTTCTTCCTCCATTTCTCAAGTGTAAGTACGTGCGATTAAAGTTGTTGCCTCGTTGATTCTAGCTTGCAAATGTATTTAGTTGTGATTTGTTACTTGTAACCGCGTGTACTGTATCAGGTTAACTGGCTATATTCTCTTATCGCGAGCAAAGTCACGTTAAAAACGCGACGCGTGCTGCTTTGTTAACGGAGCTCCGTGGACGAGGAGTATGGCGAGTGTGTGTGTCTGTGTGTGCGTGTGCGCGCGCTGTCGTCCGGACGTGTGTGTGTGTGTGTGTGTTTGCGCGCGCGCGCTGTCGTCCGGAGCAGGGTTAAGTGCGTGTGTGTGTGTGTGTGTGCAATATGTGTGTGTGTGTGTGTCTGTGAAAAGAGCAGAGTGAGAAGCTAGGAGATCTCCTCAACTGTTTTTGGAGTTTTTGCTCAATAAAATAGTTAGTCGTCTGAATTTTCAAGTCCATAGTCTGTATTTACATTGACCCACTGGCAGCGAAAATCCACGCCTACGCTATCGAGCGTGTATGAACTGTGATTACTTTTATATTGCTGATTAGCTGTTTGGCATTTCACTCTGACTGAAGGCAGTCGACCAATCGCAACAGACTGTCATTGGTCCAATCAGCGCAGATTAGCTTCGCGCTAAGGAGGGGTTTGGGAACAAATGAATGGCAGGCACTTTTTTCCAGGGGTTTCAGTACAGCGTAACCAAGTGTGCCGCAAGCCTGCGTTTGAGTGAAGGTTTCGGCCGTTAGATCGCCCCCTGGGGGCTGGCTGCAGTACAAGTCATAAAGCCAGCCTCCTCCGTGTTAATGAAGGAGACTTGAGCCCAAATAAAAAAAAATATTACACTTGCAATAAAATGTCTCGAAAGATAGTTCTGGTCGATTAAGGCACTGGTTATTGTGCTGAAATAGGTGCAGATCTTCATTTTTGTAAACAGTTTGTTTTTAGCAGTAATTTAATGCTGGGCGTGTCATCGTGATTGACAGCTGTGATTGACAGTTTCTCAAAGCGCGGCGTCTGAGCTTCGGCAGGAGACTGAAGTAGACTGAAATGTTATTATTCGATTTCTGTGTTATTTTACCATGACAAAATGAGTTCAGCAGTAAACTATAGTTTCTGACATACATGATCCTGGTGGAACACTGTTTATTCGCTAAGTTCAGGGCTTTTTTCGGGCTTTATTAGTTCGCTGATACACGCCTAGCCACCCAGATAGCAAAACACAGTTCCGGCTAGATTCTCGCCTGCCGGAGACTTATCTCTTAGAGCTCAGACTGACTAATGTTACCTCTGCTGGACCTACTCTGGATGCCTGGACTCACTACCCAATTCCAGCCCGAGTCAATCGAGCCAGATGCGGCGGCCGAGCGAGCAGGCGCTGCCGCATGCGAGCCGGAATCAGCCCGCGACGCCGCGAGTAAGTTATGCGCTGTGGCCTGGAGCTGGCGCGATTGAATATATAAAACCCTCATATTTGTTAACGTTATTACATCCATTTGTGTTGATATGACAGCAAACGCATGCTGAGAAGTTCGGAGGGCGTAGTTGATTTTACATAAAGCGTTTGATTGGAAGCTCGACTCTGCTCATTTTCGCGGCTCCTCCTCTGGCTCCATCAGACAATCCTTCTGCGCATGTCTGGCTCCAATTTCAGCAGTCTTTTGCGACAGTTTGTGCCCGTCAAGCAGGCGTTTTGCCCTCAAGGCGTTCAATGGGAAAAAGGGCTGTCGCGTTGTCCATATTTTTTACAGTCATTGGTGCAGATCTTCATTTTTGTAAACAGTTTGTTTTTAGCAGTAATTTAATGCTGGGCGTGTCATCGTGATTGACAGCTGTGATTGACCGTTTCTCAAAGCAGCGCGTCTGAGCTTCGGCAGGAGACTGAAGTGTTATTTTTCGATTTCTGTGTTATTTTACCATGACAAAATGAGTTCAGCAGTAAACTACAGTTTCTGACATACATGATCCTGGTGGAACACTGTTTATTCGCTAAAGTCAGGGCTTTTTTCGGGCTTATTAGTTTGCTGATACACGCCTAGCCACCCAGATGGCAAAATACACTCGGACCAGTTCGGCTAGATTCTCGCCTGCCGGAGACTTACCCCTCAGAGCTCAGACTGACTACCTCAGCTGGACCTTCTCCGGATGCCTGGACTCACTGCCCAATTTCAGCCCGAGTCAATCGAGCCAGATGCGGCGGCCGAGCGAGCCGGCGCTGCCGCATGCGAGCCGGAATCAGCCCGCGACGCCGCGAGTATGTTATGCGCTGCAGCCCGGAGCTGGCGCGATAGAATATATAAAACCCTCATATTTGTTAACGTTATTACATCCATTTGTGTTGATATGACAGCAAACGCATGCTGAGAAGTTCGGGGGGCGTGGTTGATTTTAAATAAAGCGTTTGGTTGGAAGCTCGACTCTGCTCATTTTCGCGGCTCCTCCTCTGGCTCCATCAGACAGTCCTTCTGCGCATGTCAAGGCTCCAATTTCAGCAGTCTTTTGCGACAGTTTGTGCCCGTCAAGCAGGCGTTTTGCCCTCTAGGCGTTCAATGGGAAAAGGGGCTGTCGCGTCGTCCATATTTTTTACAGTCATTGAGCGTAACCGCTACTACGTCATCGGGTGGGCGGGGCCTATCTGTTAATTTGCATAGGTCACTGATCATGCGCAGATTGTGAACAGCCGTTAGATTCAGATACCTGTACGTAATCGCAGGGGTTTCGTGTCCAATGCCTTTTATATGCAGTACAAAATAGCTGTCCTGATCGCAGGTGTTTCATGTAAAGTCAGTGTTATATTAAACAAATTAACTTAAGATACATCTCAGATTACATTAATATTGTTATAACTTAAGATACCTGTCCCGATCCCAGGGCTTTTGTGTCAAATACTTTATATATCATGTACAGTAGCATCAAATACCTCTCCTAATCCCAGGAGATTCATGTATGATCACTTTTATATGCAGTAACATCAGATACCTCTCCTGATCCCAGGTGTTTCATGTATGATAACTTTTATATTAGTTAACATCAGATACCTGTCCTGATCTCAGGGGTTTCATGTATGATCACTTTTATATTATATACATTAACATCAGATACCTGTCCTGATCCCAGGTGTTTCATGTATGATCACTTTTATATTATATACAGTAACATCAGATACCTGTCCTGATCTCAGGGGTTTCATGTATGATCACTTTTATATTATATACATTAACATCAGATACCTGTCCTGATCCCAGGTGTTTCATGTATGATCACTTTTATATTATATACAGTAACATCAGATACCTGTCCTGATCCCAGGTGTTTCATGTATGATCACTTTTATATTATATACAGTAACATCAGATACCTGTCCTGATTCCAGGTTTTTCATGTATGATCACTTTTATATTAGTTAACATCAGATACCTGTCCTGATCCCAGGTGTTTCATGTATAATTACTTTTATATTAGTTAACATCAGATACCTGTCCTGATCTCAGGTGTTTCATGTATGATCACTTTTATATTATATACAGTAACATCAGATCTCTGTCCTGATTCCAGGTTTTTCATGTATGATCACTTTTATATTATATACAGTAACATCAGATACCTGTCCTGATCTCAGGTGTTTCATGTATGATCACTTTTATATTATATACATTAACATCAGATACCTCCTGATCCCAGGGGTTTCATGTATGATCACTTTTATATTAGTTAACATCAGATAACTGTCCTGATCCCAGGGGTTTCATGTATGATCACTTTTATATATATTAACATCAGATACCTGTCCTGATCTCAGGTGTTTCATGTATGATCACTTTTATATTAGTTAACATCAGATAACTGTCCTGATCCCAGGTGTTTCATGTATGATCACTTTTATATTAGTTGACATCAGATACCTGTCCTGATACCAGGTGTTTTGTGTATGATGACTTTAAATAAAAATAGAAAATAAATATGAGGTATGTTAATTAACTAAGATCGAGAAAGAAAAATTAACCACGGTTTATTACAGAAAATGTGGTATTTATTTGTTTAAACATGACTGAATACCATATTTTAAACTACAAAAACACGGTTAATCTTACCACAACCATTATTATTTGGTTTAAAATGGAAGTACAAAAGCCCAGAGACATTAAAACGGATTAAAACGAGGTGAGCTGTTTTTGCTAATGAAATCTTTAAAATATAACATTATAACAACAAAAAAATAACCTGTATGATTGTTTTTTCCTTCGTTATCCACCGCGGTAGGTTCTTTATCCATAATCATCCTGTTTGAAATGACCGCGCTAAAAAAGAACCTGTACTGCGCATGATCGGTGACCTCTCAGTATTGTTTTTTTTTTTTTTAAGGGGGCGTTTCCCAAACACAGATCAAGCCACGTCCATTTTACGTTGTGGTAATGAAACCCCTGGAATTTAGTGCATGCCACAAATGAATCACTGGACGATTCATACAGGAGTCGCTGGGATACTTAGGTAAAAATAAATGCAGATTATAAGACCACGAAAGTGTTTTTTGACCTTGCATGCATATTAAACTGTTGTTGGAGACCCTTACAACCAAGATATGACCTTTTTTCATGTATATTATGGGCTCTTTAACGAAAGGGCTCCACCAGGCTGAAATCCTCTGTAAATGCTATGTTTTTGTATTCAAGTTGTTGAAATCGATAATAATATCACTTTTGATTGTATAAATACATTTTTGGTTTAAGACGAGGGTTACAACGACTGTTACAGAATTGTTTACGTTTGGATTACACAGAGCTGTCCCAGAGATGCAGAGCAGATGTATGATACTGTGCTGACACTCCACTAGCCCAGCAACTGCTAGAAGGGCTAGGTCATTAGGAGCATGCTCATCTGCAAAGCATTTAAAGGTAGAGTATGTAATGTTTCTATATTATAACCCTCTGTAACAGGAGTTAAAAAGGAAATCTGAAGGAAAAATTACTAGTCATATACAGTAAGAACAGTAGAAACAGTTAAGTAAGTAACATTTATTTGTCCACAATTTTTTAAAGACTGAAACACTTTTCATTATCCTGGAGTCTTTTTACAACCCCAGGGGCTTTGTAACAGCTACAAATAATAATATAAGTTTTTAACTTTATTTATAATGTTGGTCAATTTGTCTAATTTTAAAACCTGCCAAGCACATCTTTTTAACACTTTTTAACAGTTTTAACAGTTTAACAGAGTATTAACGATTTAGAAACAGAAACAACCCTTAAAAGAAAATCTAATCTCAGATTCAATAGATGTGATATGCGTTATGTATTAACTACTAGTATACTTGTAAGTGTACTACTTGAAAATTTCACAATGACATTTTTCATTTGTACGGCAAGTGAACTCCTGAGTAGTATACTTTTATAATACTTGTTGTAAATATTTAGTTTATGTACTCTATTCTTTGCTTAGAACTTGACTATTGCACTTAACCATTACAGCTGCACACAGAGTAAAAGATACACACACACACACACACACACACACACACACACACACACTTCCTTGAGGTACAAAGTGAGTACACTTTCAACAAACCACTATAGTTTTATTCTGCTGTATACTGAATATACTCTATACTTTCTTAATTGTAGTTTAAAATGAATATAATAGTATACTTGAATACATTTTTTGTAAGAGTACATGGACCCTTTTCACAAAAAGGTTATGATGTGTTTAATGGTGATTAGCAACTTAAATCTTTAGTTCTTTTTCATTTTGGATTTTTAAAAAAATGTATGTACACTTCTAAAGCTATACTTTGTATTATGTCATCTGTGCGTCAAACTACAAAAAAAAAAAAAAAGATTGCTTATGTCAGGTGTTTCTAATGCAGTTCCAATGGGCAGGTTCTCTCCTCTGGTTGCCATTATCAGTCTCACACTAATATTATTATTATTTTATTTTAATTTTTTTGCTTTTTCTGAAAGTATTGATAACACCATCACTGAGTTTTCCTTTGGTTATTGGAGCAAAATAAAATGCAAACATTTTGTTGTATTCTGCCATAAGTATGATGACTTCTGCTACTAAACAACCCAGAATTGTCAAAAGGGTCCATTGAACCTAAATAACACATTGTTTTAAACATTTGTATTTCAATTGTTTTATTTCCCAGACACTGTAAAAAAAATCAGCAAAGGAACAGCTTGCCAAGTAGAAGCAACAATAAAATCATGGTTAAGAAAGTCAAGAGACAGAGATGGTGGGCGCCAAGGAAGGGCCAAAACTCAGAAGGGACTTACTTTTAATTACATTTTTTGGAGTTAAAAAATTGCGTTTTCTTTTGTGTGTTTATTTATGTTTGATTTTGTATAAAATATAATTCTGTTTCAATATCATACAGTTGTTCATTTTTTGTTATTAAACTCTGTAAATAAATATTTACGAACATGAAACAGTGTATTGTCAAGTAAAACTGTTCTGAAAATGCATTGTATAATGGTTTTCTGTATGTACAAAGTAGAACCAGACTCAGTGGCTCAGACAGGATCATTGCGAGTCGCCCACTGTGGGCCCAATGGTGTGGGCTGACTGTGGGCTATCCCACACTAATCAGAGCGGGTTATCCCACAGTCAGCCCACACTTTTGGGCTGTCTCAAAGTGGGCCCACACATGCCCCACAATTCATGCTACTGTGGGCCCAGATACCGGGGTGAAATGTGGGGCACTAACAACTTTTTGTTATGTCGAGATCACAAGATAAATAAGTCCTGATCAACACGACAAAACAAGAAAAAATATTTTTAATGCATGGCCTCTTAGGACTTCCGTAATTAAATTCCATGAGCAATTTCACAGGAATGTTTGTACTAAATTTATTATAGTTTCTAATCGAGTAAAATTTGAATCTATTATTAAAGCCATATTTTCTGGCTACCCTTGCAGCCGCAACTGTTCCCCCCTTTTTCATTGAAGGTGTGATTGCAAAGAAGGTTCAAACAAAAAGATTAGAAATTTATTTAACAACATTATCCTCTAGCGGTTTAGAAACTCAATTGCACTTAAATTATCTTAAGATACCATTCACATATAACTGAACATTTAAAGCTTCCTCTGCCTCCAAAAACTAAAGAAGTTTTTATATAAAAATGTTATTTTATTCGTCAAGTTCGTCAAATTATTTACAACTTGAACATTGCGCCAGAGTTACTTTAAAATGGAAACAGTTGAGGGAATATGATTTTAAATAGTAATATATAACACATTAATATAATCATGAATGTAGGCTACTCACGAGCCCGTTTGCGCTCAAATCGGGTGTTCTGAACGCCTTTATGTGTTGCACGAATGCGCGTTTGCAGTAAGGCTATTTTCTCCCTGTTTGCAGTGCATATATTCACTGCCTGGCCATACATTTGGCCAGATATTAATAAAAATATATAGCCTAATAATAATAATAATACATAAATAAATATAAGCAAAAAAAAAAAAAATTAAATCGTGATCACGACATAACAACTTTTTGTTATGTCGAGATCACGAGATATTAAGTCGTGATCACGACATAACAACTTTTTTGTTATCACGAGATAATAAGTCGTGATCACGACATAACAACTTTTTGTTATGTCGAGATCACGAGATAATTAAGTCGTGATCACGACATAACAACTTTTTGTTATGTCGAGATCACGAGATAAATAAGTCGTGATCACGACAAAACAAGAAAAAATATTTTAATTCATGGCCTCTTAGGACTTCCGTAATTAAATTCTATGAGCAATTTCACAGGAATGTTTGTACTAAATATATTATAATTTCTAATCGAGTAAAATTTGAACCTATTATTAAAGCCATATTTTCTGGCTACCCTTGCAGCCGCATAAACATTTTTTATATAAAAATGTTATTTAATTCGTCAAGTTCGTCAAATTATTTACAACTTGAACATTGCGCCAGAGTTACTTTAAAATGGAAACAGTTGAGGGAATATGATTTTAAATAGTAATATATAACACATTAATATAATCATGAATGTACATTAATCACGAGCCCGTTTGCGCTCAAATCGGGTGTTCTGAACGCCTTTAATGCGTTGCACGAATGCGCGTTTGCAGTAAGGCTGTTTTCTCACTGTTTGCAGTGCATATATTCACTGCCTGGCCAGACATTTGGCCAGATATTAATAAAAAATATATATAGCCTAATAATAATAATAATAATAATAATGATAATAATAATAATAATAATAACAATAATAATAATAATACATAAATAAATAAATAAATAAATAAATAAATATAAGAAAAAGATTTAAGTCGTGATCACGACATAACAACTTTTTTGTTATATGGAGATCACGAGATAATAAGTCTTGATCACGACATAACAACTTTTTGTTATGTCGACATAACAACTTTTTGTTATGTCGAGATCACGACATAAAAACTTTTGTTATGTCGAGATCACGAGATAATTAAGTCGTGATCACGACAAAACAAATTTTTGTTATGTCGAGATCACGACATAACAACTTTTTGTTATGTCGAGATCACGAGATAAATAAGTCGTGATTACGACAAAACAAGAAAAAATATTTTAATGCATGGCCTCTTAGGACTTCCGTAATTAAATTTTATGAGCAATTTCACAGGAATGTTTGTACTAAATATATTATAATTTCTAATCGAGTAAAATTTGAATCTATTATTAAAGCCATATTTTCTGGCTACCCTTGCAGCCGCAACTGTTCCCCCCTTTTTCATTGAAGGTGTGATTGCAAAGAAGGTTCAAACAAAAAGATTAGAAATTAATTTAACAACATTATCCTCTAGCGGTTTAGAAACTCAATTTCACTTAAATTATCTTAAGATACCATTCACATAGAACTGAACATTTAAAGCTTTCTCTGCCTCCAAAAACTAAAGAAGTTTTTATATAAAAATGTTATTTTATTCGTCAAGTTCGTCAAATTATTTACAACTTGAACATTGCGCCAGAGTTACTTTAAAATGGAAACCGTTGAGGGAATATGATTGTAAATAGTAATATATAACACATTAAATCATAAATGTACATTAATCATGAGCACGTTTGCGCTCAAATCGGGTGTTCTGAAGGCCTTTATTGTGTTGCATGAAATGCGCATTTGCAGTAAGGCTATTTTCTCCCTGTTTGCAGTGCATAGGCTATTCACTGCCTGGACAGACATTGGCCAGATATTAATAAAAATATATATAGCATAATAATAATAATAATAATAATAAATAAATAAATAAATAAATTAATTAATAAATAAAAGCAAAAAAAAAAAAAATTAAGTCGTGATCACGACATAACAACTTTTTGTTATGTCGAGATCACGAGATAATTAAGTCATGATCACGACAAAACAACTTTTTGTTATATCGAGATCACGACAAAACAACTTTTTGTTATGTCGAGATCACGAGATAAATAAGTCGTGATCACGACAAAACAAGAAAAAATATTTGACTGCATGGCTTCTTAGGACTTCCGTAATTAAATTCCATGAGCAATTTCACAGGAATGTTTGTAATAAATATATTATAATTTCTAATCGAGTACAATTTGAATCTATAAAGCCATATTTTCTGGCTACCCTTGCAGCCGCAACTGTTCCCCCCTTTTTCATTGAAGGTGTGATTGCAAAGAAGGTTCAAACAAAAAGATTAGAAATTAATTTAACAACATTATCCTCTAGCGGTTTAGAAACTCAATTGCACTTAAATTATCTTAAGATACCATTCACATATAACTGAACATTTAAAGCTTCCTCTGCCTCCAAAAACTAAAGAAGTTTTTATATAAAAATTGTATTTATTCGTCAAGTGAATATTTAAGAATTAGATTTGGATTTGAGTCTTATAAATGTTTTGTGATGATATTGAAACAACAGATCATCACTGTATGTTTGTGGATGCGTAATGCCTGGCTTTACCAAAATATTCCACACATCAGGATCTTTAATGTGAATGACATCATTTATGGACTTGTCATGGACAGTAATAAAGATGCTTTTTTAATCAACAACATCCTTATGCTTGGAAAATGTTACAAAAATCAAAATATTTAAAGGTGAAACCAATGTTTTGTGCTTTTTATAATGAGATTACTTTACATCTAAAATCCCTAAAGATGATGCAATTAGTCTGTCTTTGAGAGAAAAGTATAAATTACAGGAAAACTCCTAGTCCTTTTCATTTATTTTTTATATTTAGTTATGTATTATTTTAATTAGAATTATTTTATGTAACATATTATCTGTTCTTTATTTGTACCTGTTTTATTTTTATTTTTTTGTAATGTAAAGGTGTAATGATAATGCCAAGTTGCTGTACATTAATATTTGTTCAATAAAAAAAATAATGAAACGAAATATGAGCATAAAATGACATTTGAAAAGTTGTAAAGTAAAAAAGTTAAATAGGTAGATTTAAATGTTACATTTAATATATGATCTCACGTTTCTTTCGTTTTATTTTTCACTGTGATTTAGTAAAAAAAATTAATATTGGTTTGGTGTTTTTTTATATTATGTGAGTCATAGTGAGATTTTTGATTAAACATAATTAAAGCAACTGATTTAATCTGCACACATCCTAATTGTTTATTTTAATTTGCACAAAATTAAAAAAAAATGCACTATAGGAGACGCACCAGGAAATGTGGCCACCATACAGCAGTGTTTTAATATAACTTCATTTTTATACGAGAAAGTCTTATTCAAAGCACTGTGATCTAAAAATGAACATCGCACGCCACCTAGTGATTTTACAGCGTACATTAAAGTTTTGAATGTTTTTAAATAACAGTACATTAAACTAGTTGAAAGAGGAAATTGTTAAACTGCAGGTTTATCAGCGTTCAATTGAGTATAAGTATTACTGGGGTCTTTATTTATTTTCACTCATTAAAAATGTGACAGGGCCTGACTTTTATTTTCGTCCTGAAAAATTATACAATTTATGTTAAATTTAAAATGCAAATGTGACAGGACTGACAGAAACAATTTATTTGTATTTTATTTTTGTAGTAATTGTTTTTATAATTGATTAATAATTTAATGTTTTATTTAATTGATGTGAATGATAAAAACTTAAACTGAGCTATTTCTGAAGTAATTTTATTTTCAAAATAACCGTTTTTAGCATAACAAAAATGTAGGTTCAATTGGGCTGAGCACAAGGACAATGACAGGGTTTGTATATTTGTGAGGTGTTTTTAATAAAGAAAAAAATGAATGACATATCCCTTTACTAAACAACTCACAGATATCAACCACCAGTCCATTTTAGACATCTTTGGGA